TCAGCTTAAGCAGTGGCTTCCTTTTGTCACTGTTTATTAACACAGCTGTGTAAAGTTGTTCCTGATTCCACGGTACTTCATCTACCCTCTTGGCTTCTTCCTTCCTTAGCTTTTTGAGTTAGTCTGCCTACTATTCATTTTACTTTGTGGATATCAAACTTCTATCATAGCATGTAAGCCCATATTTTCATCAGGCAGGTGCAGGTACCCTTTGTCAGATTAATCACTATTTGTGTCATTATTCCCATCAAAATACAAATGGCATCTGTCAATTAGAATTTGAGCTGTAATTTTGATAATTACAAGGTACAGGTGTGGCAGCCTGCTGCCATTCTGGGCTAGTTCACCAGTCCTGAGAGAACATGCAGACAGTAAACTGGTTTGGGGAGCCCAGAGACAGGCCAAAGTAGAAAAATAATCTTGACATTAGCATGTATAGATGATTTTAATTTCTTAGTCCATCTAACGGTGGAGCCCTAGTTCTTTTAGGCCTGATGTAGAGGTCCCCTTTTATTATCCATTTCTAGGATCAGACCAGGAGGAGAGAGGCTAGGGGCTTACATTTCAGGACAGGGAGAAGTGGCTGCAGGACTTTGGAGCTTCCAGGAGGGCTCTCTCCAGCCCTGCTCCTGATATTGGTGTGTTCTGTGTTCTCTCCACTTTGTCAAGTTTACTTCACCAGTATTAAGTTTAGTTACATATTTTGCTGATTGCAGTCTGTGTTCGTTCTTCACTTTACAATTTGAGTCTGTTCGTTCATAATCTGTTTCAGCTTTTGTCTCAGTTGTTTATTGGTTTCCCCAGAGTTGTTTTTCTGTCTTTAATCCTGACTAATTCTGCCAGTGCTCAGGTTCAGAAGGATGCCAGGTGAACTCTGCTTTTCACATTTCTGTATTGAAAAGTTAACATTTTTTCATTTTTCATTTCACTGATAAGAACAGAAGACTGTGCTCCCTGCAGCAAGTGTTCAGTTGCAGATGGGGGCTCGAGAATGCTGTTCTCCACAGCTGGAGTAGAAATGGGGTAGAGCCCTCCTGGAAGCTCCGAAGTCCTGCAGCCACTTCTCCCTGTCCTGAAATGTAATTTTCTGTGTCTGTCTATAGATCTGTCAACCTGGTTAGCCATCTCTACATCTGTCGATACATGTATTTATCAATATATTTATCTATGGTAGATAGGTAGCTAGCTAGCTAGCTAGCTAATCACAGGACTTCTCACCAGAATTAAAACCTTAAAGAATGTGGCTCTCGGAAAGATGCAAGAGTGGAAGTAGGGGTGTGAATGGTGTGAGCTCAGAAAATTTAATTTTTGGTCCAATGTGTCTAATGAGTAATTTCTCCTAGAGTGTGGCCCTTTCCAGTCAGATCAGTTGGTGCTATCGAGCTGGTATTTCAAGTATGTCCATCTGCATGTAAACGAATTGCTCCAAGACAATCTGATTATGCGGTAGTTACTTTGGTGAGAATAGCGCCTCAGTGGAATGGAAACTTCATTTTGAGTCTAATATTAGACCTTGCTTTGGAAAATTCCTTTTAAATGATCACAAGCTGGGAATAGCAAAAGAATTTAACTTTCGACAGACAGCATTCACCACGAATTTTTAACTGCTTATGTTTGGTCCTTGGGAAAGCAGATGTGAGAAACTGACCAGGCTGCATTGAGGAGACCAGCATTGACTTGACCTGATGCAGTGTTTATATCTGTTGCTGATAAGTTTCCCTCCTAGTCTCATTTGCTCAAAAATATTTTCATTCTTTGAGTGTGAGCAAACTAAGGATGAAAATTGTTAGGATGCCTAATTGTCTAACAATCTAAACTTCTAGGCTTCCAGACATTGTTGCCTATAAAGGGTCTGAGGCAGAGCGGAAAAGGGCGACAGACCTCCAGAACCAAAGCCAACTTCTGAGTAAGTGCTGGGAACTTGATCAGACCTGGCCTTCAGAAAATGTTTTTAGTTTGTCTAGCTGGTTGTGTCTGAGTGAACCCTCTGGCCATTTGAAGTTTTAAGTAGGCTTTATTTAAAGGATTCCACCCTACCCACCAAAACCACCCTGGCATTAAAAATAGATATAAATATTAGCTGATCACAAGACTTCCAGGTCATGTCTCCTTAGCTTACTGAAAGGATTTTATGTGCCTTGGACTGGGAAACATAACTGACAACACTGGTCCTTGTGCAGTTAGTTTTTTAGGAAATCTTTCTGAAGTTGAAGTGCATTTCTTGACCAGTGTCCATATGTGATGTTGGGGTTTTCTCACTGACACTGTTTCTGACACTCACAGCAGCCCCATGCTATATAGCAGTGACTGTGAGCCTGGTTGTAGAGCCGAGCCGAGGCTCAGAAGGCCCCGTGGTTTGCTCGAGATCACACAGTGAGAAATGGCTGATGCTTGTGGTGCGGGAACTCGGTGCCGGACTGCTTGTGCTCAGCCTGAGAGCCTGCGTGCGTGCCTGCCTTGTTGTCCATCAGGCTGTCTTCTGTAGCTGTGGCACGCCATTCTTACCCTAAGACACCTTTCATTATTTCTTCCCTTCAAATTTTTAAAAATGATTGAGGACCTTTGAACTTTGGTTTGTGAGCTGTGTCTTCTATATTTGAAGTTAAATCAGAGAAATTAAAAAATTAATTCATCTTTAAAGGACAATAAATCAAAAACCTGTTAATACAAGTATCACTTTAATAGAATTTTGTTTTCCAAAACAAAAGTAGTCAGCAGGGTTTCATTGTTTCACCTTGTTGCATAGCTCTTGCCTAGCTGGGTCTTCAGTGCAACTTCAGCATTCAATTTGTGCAGTTTTAATGTTTCTGTTGAAATAAGAATCTGGCCTACACAGGTGTACAGAAAGTGCCCACTTAATTTCTCAGTAGGCTCTTGGAAACAGTCCTCAATAACATTGTTTTGTCCATGTCAGCTGGCATTGTTTTTTTTTTTTTTTCCCTCTCATCAACATATAATAGAACATTATGTTAGGATCTGCTACATTTTGGTGCTGGAGCATTGAATAGCCTTTTTTGGACAAATGTACAATATCTGTAGTATCATATCCACACTCTGCAAGTTATAGCTCTTTTAAAGGCTAAGTACTACTTAATCTGAAACTGTCCCCAGGGACTTGGATGCACTGTGACATTGAAATCCTGTTGTCTAAAATCTTCCTTACAGGAGAAGTTGCCCTAAAACATGTAAACACTCCCCACCCCAGGAAGTAGACTTTAAACCCTATCCCTCACCCCTCTTCTTGGGGTGAGCTGCACTTAGTGCTTTCAAAGAATAGAACCAGGGGAAGAAAAATCAGTGACTCTATACTGGAGAAATCTATCAGCTCGATGTTAACCAGGTGGTGGGGTGAACAGGATCTGTGGTGCCATGTAAGCCCAGTGGGACAGAACTGGAAAACCCACAGCCCAACTTCTAGTCACGAGAAAAACAAACCATGGGCTATTCTGCAGAATTCCTCACCAGTGCCCCTTGATTGTCGAGGTCATGAAAAGCAAGACCAGAGTCCCAGAAACCAAGCAGACGTGACCATGACTGCCAAATGCCCCGTGATGCTTGGGATTGGGCGCTGGGACAGGATGGGGATGCTGATGGAAAAGCTGGTGCAATCCACATAAAGACTGAAACGAATAGCACCATGTCTTAGTGTTGACAAATTGTCAGGGTAGTGTAAGATGTTAACATTGGGGGAAACTACTGTCTTTGCAACTTTTCTGTAAATCTAAAATTACTACAGAATAAAAGTTTATTTTTTAAAACCTAATGGTTATACGTTGTACTCTGAATCCATCACTGGCCTTCTCGTGATTTGATAATCCATTGCCAAACTCAGTTGGGGAATGCTGGTTTGCTGAGTTATGCACATCTCTGGAATGTTGACACCTTTCATTGTTCAATATATTCTAAGTCACATTTTTGTGAAGATTACTGTCTAGCTCATCAGAAAAGCCTTCACTAAAAAAGTCTTAAGATGATGGTGGTAGATGCAGATTTCCCCATATTCTCATTTCCCCTGAAAGCTCAGGTTTACCGCCGACAGCAACTGCTGCTGCTCTTCCTTGATGTAGCGGGCTCGTTCTGTTCACCCTCAAGAAAACGTCTGCCGGGTACCCAAGCAGACTAGAGCTTGTGCGCAGTCGTTCTTTCATAGAAAAGCCTTGTTCACTTTAAAAAGTGGTTCGCCCTCTTGCCATTCCGACAATGCGAGTGCCTGTCCGCAGACACCAACTGTGCGTGACAGAGGCGGCCCTGGAGACTGCCCCTGCCCATCACAGAATCCCGAGGTGGGACGCAGGGCCAGGAGGGAATGAGAGCAACCTGCGGCCGTCTGGCCGGGCGCTGCTCAGGGCACTCCGCCCTCCGCGCACCTGTGGAGGCCCTCGCGCGCCCACCCTGGGGTGCCCTCGGCCTCCTCTGCACCGTTGGTTCCAGTATCAACAGTGAAAAGGGCCAGGAACGTTTTATAATCCTTATGGAAATAGTCTGACCTCACTGATCTTCTGAAAGAAAATCACTTGGGGAACTGCTCTCCTGAAGTAAAGTAGCAGTTGTTGAAAGCTCACAAGGGAAGAGCTGATGTTCCTGAAGACCCAGCCCCTCAGGAGGCCGATGGTAAGGTGGGGTGTGTGCTCGCGTGCGTGTGTGCTCGTGTGCCCGTGTGCCCGTGTGCGTGTGTGCTCGTGTGCGTGTGTGCTCGTGTGCCCGTGTGCCCGTGTGCGTGTGTGCTCGTGTGCCCGTGTGCGCCTTGCGCGCTCAGGCTCTGCCCCGGCCACCGCCCTGTGGCTGAGCTGGGCTGGCTTTGGACGGTGCTTAGGGCTTTCCTGTGGGTTTATGGGTATGTCTTGTGCCATTTTAAATGGCTGAAATGCTAACTTTGATCATTTGATATCTGTGTTTCTCCTGTGTTTAGCATAATTATATGTAAGACTGCATTCAGGAAATTTAGAAAATTACCTCTTAAATTTTGGTGTTTTTTTTTTTTTCTTCCTCTTTCTTTAAAGGTAAATCTCACCTGGCTATTGTGCAACGAGTAAACAATGAGGGAGAGGGGGATCCATTTTATGAAGTTCTGGGAATTGTCACATTAGAAGATGTGATTGAAGAAATCATCAAATCTGAGATTCTAGATGAAACAGATTTATACAGTGAGTAACATTGGGCGTAATTTCCCAAAACCTTTGCCTTTCTTGCCACATGGCTTGTGAGTCACCCAGCACTAGCTGCCGTCTGCCTCTGCTTCTGATTGTGTGTAGGCCGTGTGACCTGTCGGTGTGTCCATCTGCTCATCAGAGGGCCTGCCGCGTTGAGTGTCAGTGCTTGTTTTTGAGAGGCCAGTTGCTGCTGACCATTGATCTGGGTGTTACTTGTCTTGAACAGAAAGTTGTACTCTTGTTTTCTTTTTTATATTTATTTTACATGTGAAAAAACTGGTTCTTTACTAACTTCTCATTGTACACACTAGGAAAATTGCTTTCAGATTCATAAAATCAGGGACTTTAAAAAACTGAAGGGGATTTGTTAAACATGTAACAGCAGCTTAGATTTCTTGTTCGATAAAGGGCCGTGCATGGTTAGAGGTAAGCTTTGGAAGTGTAGTTTTTTTTGTTTGTTTGTTTTAAGAATTTATTTTTATTTATGCATACAATACCTGGGGTGCAAGCCAGAGGTTAAGGGGGTGAGATGATTCACCAAAGACAGATTGGGGAGTAGAACAGACAGGTCTACTGAAATACACTGCTGAGGGGAGCAGCAGGCGGTACAGGAGAGGTCTGCTGTGCCATGTGGGTCAGCTCCCCGGCCGGGGATCCAAGTCATGCTGCAGTGTCTACCTATAGCTTGATAGTGCTGACACTTAACTCCTCCGCCACCAGGGAGGCCCTGCAGGTGTAGTTTTTCTGGCACGTTGGGGGCAAAATAGGGGTATAGGAGGTAGGATTAGGTAAGGTACACTATAAAAATGTGTTTTTCCCATTCTCTGCTGCCCTGGCTCCTTTTAAAGGGTGTTAGGGAGGGAGTTGCTTGGACTAGAGCACGGGAAAGGGAAGATACCTGGGCTACCCAGGAGTAGGCTTGATCTTGGACTGGGTGTTGAACTGAGCACTGCCTTATTAAAATCTGTAATTGGGTTGATGGACTGTGGTGCTTAAACTTTTTCAATCACACTCTTAGCAAAATAAGACTTTTCCAGAGTTTTGTGATGCCAAAGATGACATAAGGTCTGAGATGTTTCAGACTCTGAAAGCTGGGATAGGCAAAGAACATCTGAGCTGTTTGTCTTATTTGGCTTTTAAAATTTAGAGGGGGAAATAGATATTCAAATGGACTGGGGCATCCAAGCCAAAACCAGCAAAGCAGAGCTATTTTATTCAATCCTGCTAGAAGGGAATGTCCTCATTTTAAAATTGAGAGTCTTCCATGCATCTGAAAAGAATACATGTTATATTTAGCTAATGACCTGCTTCTAAAAGTGTATCTTATTTCCCCCTCTCACATCTGTATAGTTCTTAAAAAATATCAGCTCCTATATGTTTCATCCTTTGTACCCTTGGAGAGTAGTCAGAAAGCATCACTGTTTGTGTGTCTGCATTCTTTTCCTCCTTCTTCACAGTGACGATCTGCTAGCAAGTGTGTCTCCCAGGGGCAGTTATGTGTCTCCCAGGGGCAGTTCTCATCATAAGAAAGATAACTCAAACATTTATGAAATCCTACATTTGTGCTTAAGTTAGCTTCTATTAAAGTTTGATTTAAACTGATTTCAGGCAGAAGTGTTTGACCTACTGATAGGAGTTGCAGAACCTATAGCTTCAGGTATATTCTTGGAGTAAGAGCTCAGGAATGACTGCCTTTGCCATTAGCAAATTACATAGGGAATTTGTATTGATTTATACTGTCAATTCTCCAAAGAATTTGGGCCAGCAGAAAATTATAAGGTGTGATGCCTCCTCCCTCGGACATGCCTAGAAGTTGATCTGTTTTATCTCAGATGTGAAATGGTCAGACCAAGACTTAGGATTCCTGGAGCAAACATCAGGGTCTTATATAAAAACAGGGGTTGTTATTGCTCATGACTTTGTCCAGAAAAATACTTATAAAAAGTATTTCTGGCCCTCCCTGGTGGCGCAGCGGGTTAAAGTACAGCACTAAGAAGCTAAAGCCACTTCAGCATGAGTTTGATCCCTGGCCCGGAGGTGACCCACATGGCGCGGCAGACCTCTCCTGACCCGCCCACCCCTCCCACAGCAGTGTACTTTGTAAGTCGGCCTGTTCTGCTCCCCACTGTGTCTCTGGTGAATCCTCTCACCACCTGTGTCCTGTACCCCAGTTCTGTATGCATAAATAAATATTTTTTTTTTAAAAAAAGGTATTTCTACATCATGGGTTGACACAGCTACCACCCTCTAGTGCCTGCCACCTGTTTTTGTGTGGCACTGCAAGATAAAAAAATTGCTGCAAGGAGTATAAAGGACCAGGGGAGAAAATAATAATGAACAACTATATACCAGAGACATTTTAACGGGGGTTAGGGGGGGAATGGGATCAAAAACGGTGGGTGGATGGAAGTGCACTGGACTGTGGCGATGGCACACGGGTGATTTGCTGATGGGAAGCCCATGGGGATTACAACTGAGATGGAAAAGGCACAATATGATATAAAAATAAGTTACTATTTTTAAATATTAGAAAAAATATTTTAGTCAACAAATAAAAAGCTAAAATCTTAAAAAAAAAAAACCCAAAAACTACCAAACCTCAAAAGAATAATTGTCTTGTGACACATGAAAATTACAGCAATTCAGATTCCACACCCATGGTAAACTTTCACTGGAACTAGCCACACTGAACAGCAGAATTGAGGCATTGCAGCACAGCCCGAAATATTTGCTATCTAGCTCTGGACAGGAAGTTTGCTGACCTCTACTCTGGATCATTTTTTTCATATTTGTTTGGCCTTGAGGATTTCACGGCCTGGCATAAAAATAAGAGACAGGTGGGCCCTCCCTTGTGGCGCAGCGGGTTAAAGCACAGCACTAAGAAGCTTAAGCCACCTCCACATGAGTTCGATCCCCGTCTGCCCCGGAGGTGACCACATGGCGTGGCAGACCTCTCCTGACCCGCCCGCTGCTCCCCTCAGCAGTGTACTTCGTCAGTCTGCCGGTTCTGTTCCCCACTCTGTCTCTGGTGAAGCCTCTCATCAACCCTGAGCCTCTAGCCTGTACCTCAGTTCTGTATGCATAAATAAATAAATCTTAAAAAAGAAATTCTTAAAAAAAAAAGGCAAGGGTGCCGGTGAACTTGGACTTTTAGCGGTTAACTCGATTGAGTGGGCAGACGCAGGAGCACCCGGGGCCCCTAAACTGTGAACTTTAAAAGAATTCTGCCGCCGGCCACGTAAAGACAAAGCAGACTCTGGAGTGTGAGAGATCTTTTTTTTTTTTTTTTTTTTTTAAAGATTTATTTATTTATTCATACAGAAC